CCCCCCCCCCCCCCCCCAGCACATCTCACAGCTTTTGCGTAGACAAAAAAGTATAAACGTATTAATGAGAGGTGGAATGACAAAATGAGTTACTTCTCACAATCCCCTAAAGGAGATATCTGTCTAAAATCGACACAGGGGTCAAATTTGTAGATCTTCAGTTGATACCATTTTCTTTGAGTGCAACACGTCTCGTATCATTTGTGTCAGGCGCTCGACAATTTTTGATGGAGTTATCGGTACATCGCAAAACATGTATTTTTTTATTATTTTTTTAGCTTCATGTGAAAAGTACCCGTCTATCGCGAAAGGAAGCTGACATAATATTTTACGATTGAAGGGAGTGGGGTTCATCTTTTGTTAGAGGTTAAATTAGCGAGAAAATGGCCGCCGATGTTTGGTGACTTCCAAAGCTTGAGTGTCTTTAAAACCTACAGATTTACTTTTTGTGTGTCATTCACCAACGTTTTTAAATAAAATCCACCCAGAAATGTGTTTTTAAATGAACATAAAAAGTGTTCGCGAAGCAAAACAGAAAAACAAACAGAAAAAATGGCCAGTGAGCCGAGATATGCCGGTTTCTTTGATTTCATTAATTTGACGAGCGACTGATTCCATCACAATGCCACACATTTCATACTAATAAAAAGTACAAACTTAACCCCATAACATGTTACGTATCCATATCCATAGAGCTAAAACTCTGAAAAGTAATTCCCTTGCCAGAACACGATACAAAAATCATTATTGACGTATAAATTTCTGTCACCATGCTACTGAGACGTCACAACGTAGTTATACAACCATCCCCACTAACCTAACTCAACCCCCCACCCTCCTCCACCTCCCCCTTGTTTTTCCTTTATAACCTTTTTTGTTTTTTGTTCATATATTAGACTTTCCTGATCTGAAATTGGACACACATTTAAATTGTTTTTTTAATTGTCTTTGTTTGTTTGTTTGTTTGTCTGTTTGTTATTTGTTTGTTTGTTTGTTTGTTGTTGGTTCGTTTGTTTGGTTTTAAATAGATACGATCATCCATTCCTGGATTTTGCACAAGATCCAGATTGTTCCCCATAAAAAAACGGAACATACATTATCATAAAAGATTTGCCTTTTTTTTCAGAAACTTTATTGACTTATTTTTTCATTCTCTTCAGCGGCCTTCTCACAGCATACTTGGCAGTCAAGGAAATGAAAAAGAAGAGCTGGAAAATCAACTGGGGACTTTTCTATTTCCACAGATTTTGGAGGTAAAGACTTTGTCCTCCTTTATTTTCCTCCATCACTCTTTTCCACAAACACGTATGAATGTGGACAGAGGAGACACAAGCACACACACACACACACACACACACACACACACGCACACGCGCACGCACACACACAGAGATTATTAATCAAAGGTGCAAAAAGATAAATTTTCAGTTTCCAAAGACTCTCAAACTTTAAAAGGCTCTAAACTTTGGCAACCACATCCTGCTTCTATCGCAAATATCTCGAATTCGATTTAAGACAGACGAGTAATTTTTTTTTAATTCACAAACGCAGGATGAATGAATACGTTTTAAGATGAAATTAAAAACTTCATATTCCCAAAAATTGACGAGCAGCTGATTCCACTGTGAGGTGACATAAATTTATTTATCCTGTTGATAAGATAGATAATTACAATGTAAAGTGATTACATGTATTA